CAGCTGATCCTCTGTGTTAATTATTCAGGCTCACATTTCCCTGCTCTGGGGCTGGCTTTTTGTTTTGTTTCGTTTTTTTTTGTTGATCCTCACCCCAGGATATTTTTCCATTGATTTTTAGAGAGAGGGGAAGACAGAGAGAGAAACATTGATGTGAGAGAGACACATCAACTGGTTGCCTCCTGCACACACCTCCCACTGGGGCTGGGGGTCAAGCCTGCAACCAAGGTACGTGCCCTTGAGCGGAATCAAACCCGGGACCCTTCCGTCCGAGGGCCGACCTTCCATCCACTGAGCCACACTGGCTAGGGCTTGGGCTGTCGTTACGGACTGGCACAGAGGAGACGATGATGACGGTTTCAAATCCAGGTCCCTCCCAAGGCCAGTCGCTGAACCCCCACTGCCCTCCCTGCGCAGCCCTTCCCGCTCCCTCTGTGGGGGGGAGGGAGGGAGGAGGTAGACGAGTTTCGGGGGTTGGGGGGCTCAGTTCCGAAGGCTGGCAGGCTGGCAGCGTTAGCGCTCACTGAGGGAGGATGTGGAGTGGTTCTCCACGCTCCTTGTGAAGAGTGTAGCGCAGACTCGTCACCCGACTTTCCACCTGGGTGTCATCTCTGCTCACTCCTCAGGCCTGTCTGCCTTAGCGCTTCCTGGCGCTTTTTCTTCCTGGAACACGGTTGCCTCCTAGAGGGGCAGCCTTCCTCTGGGCGCCTGTCTCGCACGTGCTTCTGAAATCACTGAATGCAATCTGCCCGTGTCTTCTCTTACAGCCTTAAGGTGACACAGGCACCCGGGTGCCAGCTCTGAGCTGGTTAACTAGACGAGGGTGCCATCATCAGGAGGTGACGACTAGCTAGAACATAGCATCTCACCTCCCTGTCGGTCCGATCCCGGGAGGCAGCCTGGAGTGTAAACTCCTTAGACTCACATCACGCTGAGCAGGTGGCTCTCGGGTTCCCAGCAGACGGACGGACGAGGGAAGGCTGTCCCTCTTCCCTCTCGGCCTCAGCAGGACGCATGCTCAGACCCAGAAAATGAACAGTCTTGTCCTGCCAGCTGGGGCTCGTGTCTGCAGCCTCCCTGCAGCCCCCTCCAAGCCCACAGTGGCCTTAGTGGCTCGTCTGTGGTTCCCTGACTCGCCCACCGACTTCCGAGGACCAGGTCTTTGACGGTGAGCAGTGAACTTGGAGGAGAATGCGCTCAGCTGGGCAGAGCAGTTGCCAGCCTCTCACCAGGCTGATCCTTTCCGCCTCCTTAAGGACAGTCTGCCTCTGCCATTTTTCTTGGTACTTTTCTTTTAAAGCTACTTTTTGAGAGAAATTAGCACCTGATTTCCCTAGAAACCTCCTGGACTCAACTCCATTATGACTGGACCTAATTCCTTACCGGGAGCGACTCTCCGACTCCCAGGCTGAGACGTTCGAAGCCCCGCCCCTGTGCCTGATGTGGAGGCTGGACCGTCTCCCCCCCAGCAAGCAGCTCCCCTCACAGCCTCCCCCAGGCCCAGGCAGTGCCCCCGGGCTCCCGGCCCCTCGCCTGGCACGGGATGTCATGACTGACGTTCCCAGCCTGTCGATGCCCGAACCTTCCAGCTCGAAGAACGAGCCCCTTTTCTGCTGTCTGTCCTCCTGTGTCACCTGGCAGTTTTGTGATGGAGTCTGTGGCCTCCGCTAAGCTCAGCTCAGGCGTGCGCCGGGCAGTGGGCGCTGGGCAGCGGGCGATCAGCCATGTCTGAGGCCCTTCCTCGGGTTCTCCCGGGCCTCCTGCATCGCTTTCGCTCTGTCTTCTGCTAACTCGCCACGCCCGCTCCTGCCTTAGCTCCCACCGGGCGTGATGGGACTCGGTGACGGTGACAATGTCCCGTCTTCGCCGAGAATCCGGGTGAAACCCCTGCAAACAGGAGAAGATGCTGAGTGGCTCTGACCTCTCCCTCGCAGGCACCGTGTCCATCGTCTACCTGACGTTCCTCGTCACCTTGAAGGCTGCGCGCTTGGGGTTTCACCTGGAATTTCACTGGTTTACGCCAACAGAGTTTTTTGTGCCAGGTGAGCTTCTCTAAAGGAAAGAATTGATAGCGGATCTTGAGGTTCACTACCTGGACTGTTGCTCTTCTAAGACGAGGAGCGTCTTGCTGACGCTGAGCGTTGTCATGGATGCTATTAAGCGGAAACAAGTCCCGAGGGCCCTGGCTGGTGGCTCCGTTGTTTGGGGCATCGTCCTGCACCCGAAGGTGGCGGGTGCGAGTGCCGCCAGGGCGCCTGCCTGGGCTGCAGGTTGGATCCAGGTCAGGGCCCGTGGGAAGGCAGCCGGTTAGTGTTTCTCTCTCCCTCCCTCTCCTCTCTGAAACCAATACGCACGCCCTCGGGCAGAATTTAAAGAGTCCAGCTGAAATAAATTACTCTGCTCTTCCTAGTTAGGGAGCACGGGGCCCTTTGTCATCTGTGCCTGGGAGGGACATGCATTCAGGTGACCACGCACTCAGCAAGTCGAGGTCGCGTTGTCCAGACGTCACCGAGCAAACGTAGCCCTGGCATTTCAGGGACTTCACACGTGGTCCGCGATGCACATGCGTGGATAGCACTGCTCGTCGCATCGCTGATCCCGTGGGGTTCCCATCGCTGTCTCTCAGGCCGATGTCACTGTTACGGGTGCCCTCCCTCTTTCTTCCTCATGGTTATAACTTGGCGATTTCTTAAGTTTCACCCAAATGCGAGGGTTTGGACATGACAAAAGCACCCTGAGGCCGAGGTGGGTCGTGCTGAGTGAGGAGACAGAGCACTGAGCAGGGGTGGGGAATGCCTGGCCGGGCCACAGGAGGCCCAGGACATCACGTGGTCTGGCCCTGCCCTGAAAGTAGGTGAGGTAACTGGTGACCAAGCAGAGCAGCTGAGGGGCATGTGGTGTGGCCACAAACGATGTCATCAATCCCTTGGCTCTTGGCAGAAAGAAGGTCCCCACCCTGGGCTAGAGCGTCCTGACGACGGAGGAGGAGACGGGGTTCGCGGACGGCTCCTCCCTTCTTCAGCGCCGACCCGCACATCCGGTCCCCCCTCCACCTTAAAGCAGGGTCGCCCTTCCCCTCGGAACCCCATCCTCTGGTTCTCTTACAAAGCGGCACCTTCTCATGTTTCTCCCTCTAAGTGATGGACTTACCCAGGGTTTAGCGCTCAGACCTCTTCTCTCTCCGCCCTGTTCCCTCAGCAACGCCTCCTGGTCCCCTGGCTTTACCTCTTGTCTCCATGGCGACTAGTCTCAGTCTTGTGTTCCAGCCCCGAGCTCTCCGCTGACGTCCCCCCCCCCCCCCAACCCCCGTGAGCACGTCCGCTCTGCTGCCGGAGTAAAGCGGAGACCTGGCCACCTCTCGCTTCTACCAAAAAGAACTCGGTCACGCTGCCAACCTCCCTGGGCGATGGGAGCCTTGACTAGTCTCACTGGGCAAGAGGACAAGAAAACTCCCCCAAATTGCACCCTCAACATGTCATTCATGAGACGTTTGGATATTGAGGAAGGAAAGAGGGAAGGAAGGAGTTCTGTCTTGGAAATCAAAACTAGAGCAGCGCGGAGTGGGGATTCCGGTCAGCGGATCTCAGGACCCCCCTCCCCCCGAGTAGACACAGAGCAAAGCTCACCCTCCCGCGTGAAAGCAGTTATGGCAGGAAGTTGTCGTTGAGACTGAGGGTGGCTGACATGTCCAAGGAGTGTGACGGGGACCATGCGCAGCGATGGCAGCCAGAGGCACAGACCCCATCGGAGCTGGGGGTGGGCGGGTTGGAGGGGCAGAGGGACTGGCGTTGTCGTGTGGAAGCCTGGGACGGGGACGAGGAGCGGCCGTGTCACCTGAGGCAGCCGCTGCCGTCCCTCCCCGGCACCCGCTTTGCTCGCCGTGGAGAGCATCTGCCCATTTTCCCGGGAACTTTCATTAAATACCCTTCTGCTCGGTCAGAAGTGTACACAGTAGAAATAAAGATTCAAAGAAAAGTGTGAGATGCAGCTAACTTCCCCAAAGTGACGTGAAATCATGGACACTTGGATGGACAGATATGTGGGGGGAGGAGGGAGGGGGGAGGGAAGAAGAAAGATAAGAAAACCAGAGCATCGCTCAGGTGGCCCAGTACCCAACTAAACATAGTTCCATGGAGAAGAGGAAATGAAGGGGATGAAAGTCAAATAACTGAAGACCTTTCCCCAGCGCTGAAGAGCATAACTTTCTATGTGAAGGGCTCCACGTGCCCAGCTGGGACTGAGACCCACCCCACAGGCCACCGTCAAATCCCAGGGCCCCGGGGAGGGCAGACACCGCAGCCTGCAGGTCCGGGTGGGGGCGGTCTGAGAGCTACAAGACACCAGAAGTGTCACCAAGGCTCAGAACAGGTTATTTTCACCTAAAAGTCTAAGCCCCACCACGCTGTCTATGCCTCTTCAAGTCTTTTGCCCAATTTTCTGTTTTTTAAATTGATTGATAAGCGTTCTTATGCATTCTAGATGTGCCTCCTGGGTCAGATTAAAGTATTACAGCCCCCCCCCCCCCCCGATTTCTTTCTTTCTTTCTTAACATGTCTTCTCCAACGAATAAAGTAGCAGCTTGAAAACGATGGTCCATTTGGGGCTCCTTGGAGAGCACGTTGTCAAGGAATCTGTGTTCCTTAATTCACTGAGCAGTGGTCGTGGGCTCCCCTCGGAATATTTCCCCTCTCACCCCCACTTTCCGTCCATCCGTCCGTGTGTGTTGTTCAGGCTGCAGCAAGTCCCTGCAGGCACGTGGGTCTTGTCTTTTTAATCTGTTCAGCCTCTCGTGTCTGTGTTTGGAGAATTCAGTCTATTTACACTTTAACTATTGAAAGGTGTGGCCTTCCTCTGGCCGTTTTGTTCATTGATTTCTCGTGATTCCTTTCTTCCTTCACGATTCGGGGACTTTGAATTCTCACTAAAGAGTTTTCAATTGTTTCTCTAGACTGAGTATCTGCAAATAATGTCACATGTAAATAGTAATTTTATCCTCTTTCCCAAATCAGCGCCTTGATTGTAATTATATAAAGATAACGCTGCCATTGAGGTGATGTCATCTTTACTGCTCTCCTTCAAAGTAACTTTGCGTTCATTGCAGAAAATTCAGAGCATAGGGAAGGGTTACTTTAAAATAAATCCATTCGCCAGAGATAACCACCAGCTGCGCTTTGGGGTAGTCCTCCGATCCTTCCTTGCACACACATGCGCGCAGTTTTAAGTAAAAGTAAGATCCTGCCACACGTGCTGCTCGGGTCGTGAGCACTCGCCGTAACAGACAGTCTCCTCCAGAGCATGTTCTCACACCTGCGTGTCCCTGACAGCTCATCTTCCAGAGGCCATTTCCCCGCCATGCCAACGTTCACGTCATTTCGGTATTTTTAAGTAATGCTGTGCAGATCAGCCATTAAGAAATGTTAAGTGACCAGTTCTCCCTCCCATGATTCCTTTTCTAAAGGTACTTTTTTTCTGGAAAATTAAAGTATTAGTGTTATGCCCAGATCTCAAGATCCCCAAAAGACCACACCAGGAGCCAGCCAGTCCGATGCAAAAGCAGAAGGTCCTTTATTGAGCTAGCTAGCCCGACACCCTCTCCCGGCCGACGCAGCGACCAGAAGCAGAGTGAAACCGCCTGGGAAAACAGGGTTTTAATAGGGGGTGGAGTGAGGGGAGGGGAGCTGACTGTGGGCCCCGCTGATTGGCCAGGCGCAAGTCGGGTCTTGTTACACAGGATGTGGTCATCTCTATGGCGCGCACGTCCCTTGATTGTCATTGGTTAGTTTAAAATCCCGGGCGTGGCCAGCATCGGCCTGGGCTTCCGGGAAGAAGGAGGTCTGAGCACGTGGCTACTACCCCAACATGGAGGGCACAGCCCTCGCCCCTTCAATTAGGAGAGGGGACTTGAGGGTCCCTCAGAGCCTGCATTTGAATCTGCTCTGCCCCCCCCCCCCTCAGGTGCCTCAGACAGGGACCCTGTGAGAGGTTCCCTCCCGAGGGGTCACTCTCTGTGCTGCTCCTTTCCCTCTCCAGGCACTTGCTCAAGTAGAACGAGAGCCTTGGGGAACTTTATAAAGAGGTTTTGTATTCTTCCTCCCTTGTCAAACTTACGATCATTTTCTGGTTGTGGTGTTAATGCGGTTCCCCACTTTCTCTCCTAGAGATAAGATCTCGGTTCCCACAGCTGACTGGCGTGCTGACCCTCGCTTTCTTTATCCACAACTGTGTTATCACACTCCTAAAGAACAACAAGAACCAGGAAAACAATGTGAGTAATTACCCGAGGAATGGAGGCTTGCTTCTGGGTCTTAACTTCTAAGTTTAAACCGTAGACAATGGTCAGCAGACTTCTTCTGTGAAGATTCAGGTGGTAAATATTTCAGGCCTTGGGGGCCATGTGATCTGGCATCCCTGCCCCAGGCCTGTTGTGGCCCGAGTAGCCATGGGCAATATGTAAACAAGTGGTGATGGCTGCGGTTCAAGGAAACTTTATTTACCAAAACGAACAGCTGCCGATTTCACAGGGGCCACAGTTTGCCAGCTCCTACTTAAGCAAGCACTAAAAACAGAGGCAAGGCTAATAGCCAGCAGTGGTGATGAGAGCTTTAAAAATACCCCAGTGATCTGAAAGACAGGAAAAGGGAAAGGAAGACTAGATGGGACAGATAGAAAACACACAGCAAGGTAACAGCTTTAACCCCAGTAACACTGATAATTACATTAAATAAAAATAGTCTAAATATTGCAATCAAAAGATAGGGATTGTCAGAACGATTTAGAAATCTACCCCTATGCTACCTATAAGAAACTTACTTCAAATAGAAAGATGTACCATAAAGACACTAAACAGAAAAAAGGTAGAGTGGCTGTTTTCATATCAAGGTAGACTTCAGAATGCGGAGTATTGCCAAAATAGAGAGGAATATTGTGTAATGACCTTTAGGGATCGATTCATCAAGAAGACATAATAATCCTACATATGTGTGCACCCTATGACGGAACTTCCCAATAATGAAGCAGCAGCTCTCAGAACTGGAGATTTCAGGACTCCTCCCTTAGTAACCGAGAGGACAAATAGAAGATAAATAAGGCACAGGAAACACGAAAAGCACTAGCAGCCTTCGTGATCTCACTGCATTTATGAAAGTCTCCTCTCAGACAGCAACAGGATGGACATTCATCTCAACTGCACGTGGAACCTTTACCAAGATGGACCATGTACTGAGCAAGTCCCAATAAATTTGAAAGGATTGAAATCATACCAAGTATTTCTTTGACCATAGTGAAGACATCAATAACAGAAGGAAATTTGGGAAATTGATAGATATTAAACAACATATTCTTAAATAACCAACGGATCAGAGAAGAAATTACAAGAAAAAATAAAAATGCTTGGAGATTACTGAAATTGAGACAAAACATACCAGAATTTATAGGATGCAGCTAAAGCAGTGCTTAGAGGGAAATGTATACCTGTAAACACCTGTATCAGAAGAGAAGAAAGATCGCCAGTCAATAACCTAACCTTCTACCTTAAGACTCTGGGAAAAGAAAAGCAAACTAAACCCAGAGCGAGCAGAAGGTAGCCAGTTACTGCGGCCTTGTCTGCGGATGTTGGGCTCAAGGTGATGGCTTCTAACCATGTAAACAAAGTCACGATGAAGCTCTCACCGAGGTCCACACGCTGTCGCTGAACCACACAGGAAGGAAGCGCTCTCGGGCCTCGGGTTCTGAGGAGGCTCCAGGTAGCATCGGGCAGAGGCGTCAAGACGGCAAACATCTTCCTCAGTGGAAGGAAGTTAGCTGTCAACCGCGGGCAAGAACGTAGGTCAGGCTCATCGATCTTCATCTTTCCTGTCACCTGGGGACATGCATCTGGCATATGACCTGTGAGCGGAGTTGGGATTGAGTGAATCTGGATTTTCCAACGTTCCTAACTTGGTGACCTTCAAATTACCTTGTCTTCCTATGAAATAATAGTCTGATTTGATGCTGACCCTCAGGGTCTTCATCATAATTAAATATTACAAAGGAGGAGAAGCGTCTCTCATGGCCTGGGGTGGGGTGGAGCTGGACCTCCTTCCTTCCTCTCCTGACCGTGCAGACGGGATCTTGTGAACAGGAGAGTGTCCCCCGCAGGTTCTTCTGGGGCCTTTAGGTTGTATAACGAGGACACGTTCGCTTTCGCCAGGACGCCCTCCTGCGATTGAATGAGTTAGCTCCCAGGAAAGCCCTACCTGGGCCTCCTCGATCAGCCTTTCTCTCCTCTCCTCCCTGCCTGCTTTCACACGGTCTCGTCATACTCAAGAGGGAGCGGGCAGACAGAGGTGAGAGCGCAGCGAGGAAACAGAAGTGCACGCGCTGGAGTGGAACCGGGTCGGACACAGATGGGGAGCAGCAGCGTGGGGGAGCCGTGGGGAGGGTGGCACAGCCGCCAGGTGGCAGCCCGAGGGGCAGGGGCTGTGCCAAGCTGTGCCAGGCTGCGGCAGGAAGAGGAGAGGGCCCTGATGGGAAGAATGAAGGCACCAGAGCGAGCGACAGGCGCTCCGGGCAGGTCACCTGGGAGGGTCTCCGACTGCACACACTGAGATGAGGCGGAAATGTCGGGAGCGACGCCCACGTGGAAGGAAGGAACGACGGCTCAGCAAGACATGGGGAGGTGCTGCTCTGTGATGACTGCGTGAGGAGGGGTCCCCCCGCCCTCAGCCCTGCCCCCAATGCCCGCAGACGCCTTCTCCCTGAAACGGGTGGACGTGCTTTCCTGGCGGAGAACAGCCCGGGCCCCACGGAGTCAGACGGCCTGCCTGCTTTGCTGACCCTTATGTAGTGTGCACCCTGCTTAGTTCCGTAAAAACAAGTGGGAAGGCTTCGTATCTTCCTTTCTGCCTCCTGGTAGGAACCTGGGTGTACGTACGGCACACCAGCAGGAGTGTCGGCGACTGTCAGGTCGATCTGTGCTCAGCTTCCCTCATGTTAGTAAAGGCCCCGGGGGAGGGTTTTCATCAGCACTGGCGGGGGGAGGGGGGGGGCAGGACACGGGACTGTGTGTGAGCAGCGGGCCGTGCACAGGCCCTGAGCCGACGGTGCTGTCGCCATGGCCCGTTCCAGGAGGAAAGGTGTCCGCTAGCAGGAATGGCCCCTCATCCCAAGTGGCCAGGCTTCTCATTGCGTTAGACAGTGTTTCCTCACCTGCTTTCTTAGCTTTCACAGCAGTTAGTGTTTAACATGAAAAGTGAATAGGCCTGTTCCTCACTGAGCTGCTGAGCGTCGGCCCGGCCGTGGGGGGACGAAGGCCAGGCCCGTGCACTGCGGGTCGCTCTGCGGGTCCA